TTCTCTCTTCTCTCTCTCTCTCTCTCTCTCTCTCTCTCTCTCTCTATTCTCTATTTAATGATTTGCAATATATCAATATAATATAGTAGAAAAAATTATCTTAAAAGAGAAAAATACATTATAAATTTCGTCCGTCCATCGCGTAATTAATAGCAACGATGACGACATCGAATTACAAACCGGTTTGCGTGCGAGTACATGCATCCAATATTCACATGCATCACATGCAATGCATACTTCGAGGACAAGTACGCAGAATGAAAGTTGTATATATCTAGTTGAGACAGTAATGCGTGCGTATAAAAAAAACTGTGTACAAAAATCGGTCTCAAGGAATATCTCTAAGATAAATTACTTACCAAAACCTATCAAACTTGATTGTATTATTCTGCAATTTTGTCTATATTTATTTTAAAACCAAGATTTAGTAATTTGATTTTGACATGAATAATCACATAAATAAACTCTCTAAACTTTCTTTATTATTCGATAAAATAAAGCCGTAAATAATTTAATTAAATTAATAATTTAAATAATTTATTTTTTTTATTTAATTCACATTTTAAAATATACGCTTAATTATCGACATAAAAATATTGTACTATTGAAATGTTAAGTACTCAAATTATTTCAAATTTATTATTAATATATGTAATGTATGTAATGTAGACTTTTTTTTGTTAATTTAAAATATAGTATATACGTACAAATGGAATAAGCTACTTTAATATTATATATACTACTAAAATATTAATTTTATTATAAAAAATTATTAATTTATTTTTTATTTTCTTCTCCCAATTTCATTAAACAACAATAGATTAAATAATTAATCAATATAGAAAAAATTTAATATATACCTAGTAATATATAGTATATATTAGCCTAGTAGTCATTGATTTCTCTTGTACTTATCAATCCGTTGTCTTTGTAATTTAAATTTGGATTTGGATTTGCTTAAGTAAAAATTGTAGTGGAAGCGGAAGAAAACATTGCCATGGAAAATTATACTGAGAAGAAGTAGGCAAGAGAATAAGTACTAAAAGAAATTAATTTAATCAGGAGGTCGGATAATCTTATTGCCCATGTTGGTTAGTATGCGCCTGATGCTTGCCAGACCCTGAATAATCCGTTCAACCCAGAATTCCGAAGTGCCCAAAACGGATATCATAAATCTCTTTATACCAGTAGGTGTTGGTGTAGTACTCGCGAGAGCTCGATCGTCATTGGTAGTAATTTCAATAATTTCTTTTGGATTTTGTTGTCTTTTCACTTCATTTTTCATGTCTTCATTGTAAATTTGAATTATCTCTTCTAGACTCAGTGGATCTGGTCCATTCTTTAAAGTTTTGGTCGTTGTGAGTAAATCATCAGCTACTTTTCGTACGTCTTTCGCACTTATTTTTCCTTCCTGAACCAATCTGATTTTATTTAAAAGTTCGTTAATTTTTATTCTCTGCTCTTCATCCTTCACACGAACTTCGTGAGGTTTGAATACGTGGAGCTTAGTCATTTTTGTTGGTTCTATATTCTCCATCTTTGGCGTTGATGTCCTGCGAGATATAAGGCCTATATTCTCTAAGATCTGTCTCATATTATCTGGAACAGCTTCAATCAATGATGGTCGTTCTGTTAACGCTAACATGGCCTTTTTCTGTCTACTATCACTGACACCAAGCCCGAATTTCGCTAAAAATTCTTTCATATCCTCGTTTTTTACTTTAGACGTTGGCAAAGGCTTGAAATTGGTATAAGAGTTTATATTAATAGTTGACTTGAGCGTAGATGTTGTAGTCGTTGCCAGATTGGATGTTTGCAAACCAAATCGTTGAAAAAGCAATTGTATATCAGGCGTCAAATTGTTCATGCCCTTACCGATTTCTGAAACAGGATTCTCGAAAGTATTTTGAGCGGTTATCGATGGTGAATTAGGCGCAATGGCTGTTAGACCGGAAGTTGCATGTACTAAACCGTTACTGTTGGGAATTCTTGATTTAATCTCCAAACTTTCTTTATTCTTTTTAAAGACGTCTTCCACATTTGTCGTATTTTCTGGTCGAAGACCAATTGAGGCAAGCAGCTCCATTACTTCTGGACGCATCGTTGTCGACGTTCTCATCATTGTGATCTTGCGAAAACCTCCAGAATTTGAATTATACGTGGCATTAGATTTTAATTTCTCGGAAGAAGATGAAGAAGAGACAGAAGGAGAAGAAGGCATCGGTGTCACGTAAATAGAAGCTGATTGTTCAGTACTCGTAACTTGTATCTTTCCAGATGTTGTTTTTAAAATTTCTGGAATATGTTTAATTTTGTTAATTACAGTTGGCGTTGCACTTTCCAATGACATCGCTGCAGTTGGAAGAAACGGTTGCTCTTCGCGAATATTTTTAAAGAGCGTATCTGTATTTTTCGTTGACGTTATGATACTTTGCCTCGTTGGTGCATTATATCGCCATTGATCAACAGACAAAACATTTCCAGTGGATTTTAAAGAACGAGATGTCGTTCTTTCTGGTACCAAATTAATAACTGAAGCATTCTTTTTTGTCTCTACTGTTCGAACCGTTGTCGCACTCGTACTATATACTATGTAAACGTCTTCGTCTTTGGTTAATGAAGATCCTTTAAATACTGGTTGTCTAATGGTAGTTGTTGATATCTCGGTAAATGTCGGTTGTTTTTGTAAGCTTTCTAAGTTGAAGCTAAATTTGATTGGTGCTGAATCAAATTTGAGTGTCTCCTTTAACGGCATCTTCGAATGCACCTCCGAATATGTTTCTCTATGATTCTTATATCTCGATTGCGCAAATGAACTTTCTTTTGGCAAGATTTTCGCTGGAACATACGATGGCACTATCATATTTTCAAGAGATTGTTTTTCGTGTTCTGTTTCTTGCATGGATGTGTTTATTTGTAGCTTCTCGTTTTTCCACGTTTCAACCTCCTTTGAATTGGAAGAAGGATCCGTAATTATTTGAACTATTGGTGGTTTAGTGTATAAATCTTTGATGCTTTCCTTCGCATTTTCTGCGTTATAAGGCAGGACTACCATCAAAGCTTTTTGGTAGATATTTCTTGCTTTCTCGATTGATTCTTTGTTCTGGTATCTATCTTTGGTCTCGAGATCTTTAGATGTAATATTGAAAAGAATATCAATAATTTCACGTCTAGTAAGTTGTGGCAAAGTCGAGTTTTCGCGAATTAATCTTTCGACTTCATCGATTGTTCGGTTGATCGAGCTCTCGACTTCAGTTCTTGATGGGAGATCATTGCAATGGCATAAACCGAGGACGATCAGCATACAAAATAGCACAATCTATGAAAACAATAATTATACAAATTAGATGAACAATATCAGAGGAAAGCAAAAAATAAATGCATTATAAGACTTTTATTGTAGCTGCAATGTAAAGTAGATAAATTAAAAAGTTATAGTTGTTTTTAAATATAGGAAAAGAATATTATATTATTCCACTTTCGAATATTGTATACAAAATAATCGTATATCTTTTATAATATCTTTAAAGAATAAGATTTTAAAGGATATATATATGATAATTGAATTATTACAAAAAATATATGTTAGAATAACAAACAAAAAAATATTATCTTGTTCGTTAAAAAAGAAATTAATTAAACAATTTAAATTAAATATTATATTAATAACAAATTTATTAAATTATAATTATTAAATTAAGTGCATACCCTATATTTTTTTTAATTAATAAACGATGTTAAATACATGAATTATGAATTGAATCTATCTAAAAAGTATGTTCTGAAAAATTTATCATAATCCTAATAATTATTAAAATTATTCAATATTTGTTATTTGCATAATTAAATTTTTATTTTGTATCTTATTAATTTACTTAAACGCAAAATGTTTATTTTAATAATATATAAATGATGCTCATAGGCATACTCAATTATATTAAAGAAGAACGGATCAAACATGTATGTCAGTTGTTTTTCATATTCATGAGCAAATATTGCAAAAGAAGCCTTGACTAGATTATGTCAAAGAGTACAGTTGGCTAATTCTCGTAATCCTGATCCTTTCGTAACATCTATATTACTCGTGATTTACATTTTCATTCTCTTAGACACATAAAACGATGAAATTCACGTCTGCGTAATATAAATACAAAAACATTTTTTCAATATATTTTTTAAATATTTTTTTAAATTCTAGAATTATAAATGTAATTATCTTTGCTAAACTATATATATAGCAATACAATTAACAATGTTAATAAAAATATTTGTTGTAAAACGTGTTTTTTTTAAATTGTCATAAAACATTTACGAAAATATACATTTATAAAATATGTAACAATTTATATGTATGCGCTCGCGTATAAACACACGCGCGCGCGCGCACACACACACACACACACGCGCGCGCGCACACACACACACACGCGCGCGCGCGCCGCGCACACACACACACACACA